TAACCATAAGATTGTCAAGTAATCTCAAATTTTGAGAGAATTATGAACTTTGACTTTTTATGATTATACAAACCACATAGTTGTCTTAAAATTGCAAACCACGACAGTTTCGGAATCCTTTTACGTGTTCAAGATCAATCTTAGGACCTCTTTTTGGTGTATAGTACTTTGGGAGATAGAAAGATTAGAAATTTTTACCTAAAGACAAAGTAAGTTATCAAGAATACTTCGGGTGAAATCTAAACAAATGAGTTAAAAGGTTAAGAAAATTAACTTTCTCACAATTAAAGCACATAAACATGTCACACATGTAAGAACAAAAATTTTTAAAAAATTATTTGTAGATAAGATATAAATGCATTTTTAATAAACATTCGTAAATTTCAGATGAAGTCTCTACAATTAATTAAGCTAAGTGCTCACTAAACAAGAAAATTGATTTATCCCATAAATTTTAGATCTAAAAATGTCTAACTCATACGGAGGTAAACACAATAACTCCTACACATGTGAGAAAAAATATCTAGAAAATTCATTATAAATTAGATTTACATGCATTTTTATTAATCATTCATTTGTAAACTTCATATGAAGTCTACATAATTGGGTTACTTTTGTAAATACGGCTATTCACAGAATAAACTTTAAATGAAGTCTACAGAGAAAGTAGATTTCATATAAAGTCTAATCCGTTAAAATGAGGTTAGTTTTGTAATTGATCAAAACTTTGATTTTTGAAAAGTAAACTTCAAATGAAGTCTACAAAATTTAGGGGTTTAGTTTTTCAATTGAATAAGGTTTGACTTTTAAATATAGACTTCAAATTTAAAGTCTATAATGAGACGTGCGTGGAAAACCCTCAAAATTTCGTAAACTTAAAATAAAGTCTACAACATAAAGTAGATTTCATCTAAAGTGTACATAAAAGTACAAAGTTACATTTGCAATTGACCAAAGTTTGACTTTTAAATGTAGATTTCATCAGAAGTCTACTTTCGGTTGTAGACTTTATTTGAAGTATACTCTAAAAAACAGGTTACTTTTGTAGTTGACCAAAATCTCTAATTAAATAGTTTTGTAGACTTTGTTTGAAAGCTACCATTTAATTAAATAATACGTAGACTTCATTTAAAGTTCACAAAACTATTTTTTTCCAGATCAAATATTCGAAGTTTTGGTCAAATGCAAAACTAACATTTTTTTTTAAAGTAGACTTCAAACAAAGTTTACTC